TGCTCCTATGTTGACTTGAAGGAAACAAAAGTCTAAAGGAGAGAGTATTTAACTGGAATGCACCTTAGAAAAATTCCAAAGCATGAGAAATCCTCAAGCAGCCTTGCATATAAAGCAGAAACTTTCCTAAGTCAGCAGCATTTCTTAAAACTCAGAGTCCACCCACACCACAGGCTACACAAGAAACGGGAATCTGCAAAAATCATTACTTTCCCTGCGAACATTGCCAAGCACCTGCAAGACTGAAAAAAGGAATGACATCCAGTTCTCTCTGAGGAAGTGCAGGCCTTTCCAGCACACCTAGTGAGATGAAAACCACATGGTGAAGGAGTAGAAAAAGTCCGGACCATTAAAAATGTACTTTCCAAACAATCAATGCCCAAAAGTTTAAAACTTCTCTTTAGAGTCAAGAAATACTTCAACACTGTGACAGAGATTATCAATAATTTCCTTTAAGCAAAACAAATTCTTAAATATTAACTAAGCCCATGGATTACTCGTGTATAAAATGCTAGCAAGCACACTGATCTGGAAATTCAGTCATCTGCCCTATTGACTGGGAGCTTGTCTCTTAACTTCTCGTCACCATCAGTGTCCTGATCTAGGGTTGACAGAGAGACGGGCTGCCCCAGGCCAGCGAGCACCACATCCTTCCCCAATCCTGCCTGCCCATCACAACTTTAAGGCCTCTCTCTGATTCTCCCCTGCCAAGCTAGCTCTTCTGCCATCTCTCCATCATTGGCCCCTTATTTATATTGCTTAAATACTATCTCAGTGAACTCCAACTAATCATTTATGTCCTTTTGCTTTATTTTAATTTTGCTATACCAGGTATTGTATTAGCTCAGACAGTGGACCACTGGTTGATGCTTGGAATTTTGTTCATTGCAATGGTATTTATCATGATGTTTCATATATAATTCCAATCTAAGAAAACAATAACTATTTATTCCCTGCTTTATTTCAGATGAGATTGGGCGCGTTCAGGGTGGTATGGCCGTAGACCCCTGCTTTATTTCAGAAATAATTTAAGACTGCTTATACAGATACATATAATAAAATAACACTTATATTATAGAGACAGGGAATGGGACAAAGGAGAAATTACAGTAGAAAAGTTTAGATGAAATTAGGAGAGAGGCTTGATTTACAGCTCAGCCTATCAGGCTCATGCACATGCGAGATCAGACTCTGAGCTTTCTAAGCTTCCTAGCAGTCAAAGGACAGAGAGACTCGCTTACATCGGTAGCTGGAATCATAGAGCCTGCTGGTCACATCTGTCCCACCACTTATTCTGCAAATAAAGTTTTATTGGAATGCAGCCACACCTCATCACTTACATGTTATTTATGGCTGCATTCGTGGTACAATAGCAGAGCTGAGTGGTTGTAACAGAGACCTGCAAAGCCTAAAATAGTTACTAACTGGCTTTTTACAGAAACAAAGTTTGCAGATGCCTGCAGATGATTCTGTGCCTGTGAGACAAAAGCACAGCAATTTCCAAGGGTAAGCACATTCTTTGTATGGTTCCGAAAGGAAAGAGCACTTCCTACTGTAAAGAGTTTACTATGTAATCTCCTGGAAAAAAATACAAACAGCCTTAGCTTCATTTTTACAGTAAATATAGCAACACTTTCACAGAGCCAATGGCATGATATCACAACACAAGTCAGTAAAACGATTCTAGGTGAGGCTGAAACGATGTAGTTCAGGGGGAGTGCTCTTCTGGTCTGGCTTAGTTCAGTGAGGATCTGTGCAGAGGTGAATGTCAGGCCAAGGCAGCCCTTCCCGCCCATCTTCCTTCTCCCAGGCATACATGGCTAATGGATCAAGGTGTTCCTCCAGCTCCCTGAGCTCCCTGGGCTCACTAGCAATCTCAATCTATCATGAGCAGTTGGCATGCAAGATAAAACCGATATGTCATCTGTGCTTGATATTCTCTCCAAGTCTGATACATACTCATGTGGTAGGCTGAGGTTACACTCTCTGCAAAGTTTCTGAAGCGCAGCTATTCTAGTTTGTCAACATGCACAGCTGTCCCCTTCAATGACCATCCTCAAGGAAGGCCTAGATTCCTGGGAGAACCAGAAGCCTCACAAACCTACACAGATGCAGCTCAAATGAGTGTCTGAGAGCAGGGCCTGGAGTTTCCTCAAAAAAAGGGTGGGGAGCCTGGCCGGTGTGGCTCAGTGGTTGAGTGTCAACCCAGGAACCAAAAGGTCATGGTTCGATTCCTGGACAGGGCACATGCCTGGGTTGCAGGTTGGATCCCCAGTAGGGGGCACGCAGGAGACAGCCAATTGATGATGTTTCTCTCTCGTCGACATTGTTATCTCTCCATCCCTCTCCCTTCCTTTCTCTCTAAAAAAGAAATGAATAAGAACATTTTTTTAAAAAAAGGTGAGGAAGCTGCTCCTCTGCACAGACCAATGGGTGGGCAGGGCCAGAGAACAGCACAGGAATTTTACCGGGAAACTTTTAAGCCCAATACTCACGCTGTTCAAAGAAGTAAAACCTCCAAACAACCATGACTGTGACCCATTGACCTGGAACACATATATTCCTAAAGAACTCCCTAAGAAGCAAGGGCTCCAAAATAAATGCAAATAGACTGGAAACAGTTCAGTGTTGGGAGATGACAAAACTGCTGACTGTGGATTCAGAGAATATACCTGTAGCCTTTTTCTATGTCCATTTCTTCTCTGTGACTCTAATACTATGTTACAGATTATATTTCTATCCTATATAATAAAAGCCTAATATGCTAAGTGTCCAGTCATCTGTTCAACCAATCAAAGCATAATATGCTAATGATATGCTAAGGCCACTCAACCGCTTGCTATGAAGTGCACTGACCACCAGGGGGCAGACAGTCGACTGGTTGACCAGTCACTATGGCATGCACTGACCACCAGGGGGCAGACAGTCAACCGGTCGACCAGTCGCTATAATGTGCACTGACCACCAGGGGACAGTCGACAGGCCGACCAGTTACTATAATGTGCACTGACCACTAGGGGGCAGACACTCCAACCAGTAGGTTAGCTTGCTGCTGGGGTCTGGCCTATCGGGGCTGAGTGAGATAGGCTGGACATGCTCTGGAGCCCTCCTGTAGTCCCTCCCCCCACTGGCCAACCTCCCATGTCCCTCCCCGGCCCAGATTATGCACTGGTGGGGTCCTTTGGCCTGGCCTGCACCCTCTTGAAATCCGGGACCCCTCGGGGGATATCAGAGAGCCAGTTTCAGCCCAATCCTGCAGGCCGGTTTTGGCCCGATCCCATGCTATATAATAAAAGGCGAATATGCAAATCGACTGAACGGTGGAACTACTGGTTGCTATGATGTGCACTGATCACCAGGGGGCAGACGCTCAAGGCAGGAGCTGACATGCACTGACTATCCGTGGCAGCACTAGGGATGTCTGAATGATGGCTTAGGCCTGCTCCCCAGCCGGGGGAGCAGGGGGGTGGTGGGGGTAGGCCTAAGCCATCACTTGGACATTCCCCAAGGGTTCTTGGACTGCGAGAGGGTGCAGGCTGGGCTGAGGGGACCCCCTCCCCCCCCACTCAGTGCACGAATTTCATGCACCGGGCCTCTAGTTCTAGATAATAGAGGGACAAAAATTCAAGTAACCTGAAAGTGTTATCTAGTTTTGTTTTTTTTTTAAATATATATTTTATTGATTTTTTACAGAGAGGAAGGGAAGGGGATAGAGACTTAGAAACATCAATGAGAGAGAAACATCAACCAGCTGCCTCCTGAACACCCCCTACTCAGGATGTGCTCACAACCAAGACACATGCCCTTGACCGGAATCGAACCTGGGACCCTTCAGTCCGCAAGCCGATGCTCTATCCACTGAGCCAAACCGGTTAGAGCGTGTTATCTAGTTTTAATAAGCGCACTTAAGAGAAATAGGACTATTCTTATTTGACCTCACTGGAAAATGCTACTTAATCTATAACTGACTCCTACCCATGTTGTTAAAGGAAAAGAAAAAGACAAAACATATTATAAATAATTTTACATTATTCCTAACAGTTCTTTTCACCAGGTGATTAGAAAGCATAAAAACTAGAAAATAAGTAAAAACATTCATGCCTAAAACCTCCCTCCTTCGGAGGGGTTTGTGGCTGTATTCCAGAAAACACCAACTTCAAAGAAGTAAAACATAACCAGATTGGATGGGAGAGTTATTATGTCCAACAAACATGCGGAATTAATGCAGAAAAAAATTTCTTCACCCTAAAAAGAGCAAATACTAACAAATACTGGCATTTACTCTTCTAGTACCAATGCACGGGATTTGAGTCCAGACCACTTAAAGCCATATCCAGGCACATGAGAAAATGGATAATTCAGACTCTGCACAGCCTTACGGGGGAAAAAAAAAGTAAGAAAAATTATTAAAAAAAAAAAGAGAGAGAGGGAAATGGGGAGAGAGACATTAATTGGTTGTTCCACTTATTTATGCATTTATTGGTTGCTTCCTGTATGTGCCCTGATGGTGTATTGGGACAATGCTCTAACCCACTGAGCTATCCAGCCAGAGCTGGAAGAAAAACTCTTACAGAGGCAATGAAAACACTGAGCCCAGAACAAAGGGTAGCAGTGGAGGGTATGTTTTTCTGGAACCAAGCACAGGGATGCCTAATGATGTGCTGTACTTGAAAGTGCACAGAACATTAACACAGAAAATTCTGGAAGAAAGCAAAAGCCCCTCCACACCAGCTGTGGGCTGATCCCTGCTTCTCTAAGCAGTTACATAGCCCTCGTGTCTTTTGATGTGTCCTGAGCCCACACCAGAGACCAGGATAGACTGGGTGTTGGATGACATTACCTGGGAAAGCGTCTTCACAGCAGCTGAGGCCATTCAAGTTTGCACTTCCAAAAGACTGCCATCCCAAACCACCAGCACAGAGCCCCTTCCCAGAACCACGTAGGTGCCATAAACACTTCCACCAATTTCTTCAAGATGGGTTGGGAAGACTCCTACTTACGTAATGCATACAAGGTGAGGATTATTCCAGCCAGGCAGAATCCTTCGAAGAACCTGAGTGTGCTGAACATCGTCACATTCACGGACAGGGCCACGGTCAGGCCAAAGATCAGAATGAAGATGATGGAACAGAGCAGCACAGGCCGCCGGCCCACCCTGTGCACAGAGAGGAAACATTAGGAGTCATCATTACACAGGGCTGACTGTGGTGCCAGCCTTGAAAACCCAGCATCCAGTAGGTGCTCAATAGATGCTGAATGAGTACTGGACTAAAAGTCTTCCTACTGTCCAGACCCACTGTGGCATATCTAGGGACAGAGAGGCCCTTGGGGGAAATGTAGCTCGACCGCCTCATTGTGCAGAAAAGGGGGCCTAGATTAAACAGCTACTGCATAATAGAACTGAAACAGGAACCTAATTCCTGTTGGTAAGTCTATTTTTGAGTATATAGGAGGATAATTCAAGGCAAGAGTAACAAAATCAGTAACAGCTCCCCAAATGTAAACCTTGACACACCCATCATAAAATGTCCTGAGAAATCACTGACCTTTGGAACTGGCACCAAAGTCAACAGAGACACTGAGTGAAGTGGCTTCATCTCCTTAGTCAGGGCTGGTAACTAGTCAGGCGCCTGACCTCACACAGCCTACCAGAGCTGGGGCCAAGCCAGCTGCCGGTGTGTTTCAACTGTATGATGAGAAGTCATTTTTAAACTAAACTTAGACTAAACTAAGATAGTTCAACTTTAAATAATGGGTGTGAACCTGAAAGTGAAGCCCACTGGGCAGCAAGGTGTGGAAGGATCCCAAGCCACTGTGTTTCAGAAAAAAACTAGACTGGCAGATTATAGAGCCGGGCAAGATCGGCTACTACTAGGGTGTGATGTGCTCCTAAAGAGTGGCTGAGAGGTCCACAGGGGGTTAGGGGGTCTATGGGAATGGAAAGTAACTAGTTCTTCACCCCTCTCTTCCTAGCCTTCCAGGTTTTCCTTCATCAATTTACTAGGGAGAAAAAAAATCATACAAATTAATATAACCCAACCAAGCTTGAACTAGAAGAATAGCTCACAAAGAAACTGGAGAGAAATTCTATTTGTCAAAGGAAGAAAACCAAGCCTGGCAGCCCAAACACCTTAAGAGTAACTAATGCAGCCGTGGGCAAACTACGGCCCGTGGCCCGGATCCGGCCCATTTGAAATGAATAAAACTAAAAAAAAAAAAGGACCGTATCCTTTTATGTAATGATGTTTACTTTGAATTTACATTAGTTCACACAAACACTCCATCCATGCTTTTGTTCCGGCCCTCCAGTCCAGTTTAAGAACCCATTGTGGCCCTCGAGTCAAAAAGCTTGCCCACCCCTGAACTAATGCCTTGAATTAGCCTATATGTGCTTATAACAAGGCATCTACATAAAAGTAGAATGGCCAGAAAAGGCAAATAGAAACAGAGTAGATTCGTGGTTGCCTAGGGCTGGGGGTGAGAATGAGGAATGAATGTAGATGGGCACGACACTCCCTTTTAAGGTGGTGGAAATGTTTTAGTGTGGTGATGATTATATGATTCTGTAAATACACGAAAACTCACTGGATTGTGCACTTAAAATGGGTGAGCTTTATGATATGCAAAATGTAAATTATCTCTCAATAAAGCTGTTAAAGCAACAGCAATGCTCAGTAACACATGGCTTTGCTCTATGAAGGAGATGAATATGATTTCCAGAAAACTTGGGGGGAGGGGTGCTATAGGACACAATTTCATTCAGAATTTTTTAGGCTTCTAACATTCCCCGTAGTTACCTTCAGTTTAGTGAAATGAGGCCGAGCTACAAGATCAATTACAATGTTCCGATACTTTAGAAGAGATCCTCGATCTTTTTTTTCACTTGTATAAACTATTTAAATCTCTCCCTTTGAAATGATTGCTAAAGTCAGTGAATAAAATTACTATTAGGAACTGTGGGGCAAATATGATCTTCAAAGTCAGAGCCCTTGGTCTTTTATCCAGGCCCACCACTTATACACTACATACATGGTCACGAGAAAGACCACCCTTGTCCAAACTAGCCTCCTGTTTCCTTAGGAACAGCTGGTCAGTGCCAACCTAATGGGCTTGTTGTCAAGTAAGTGCAAGTGATCCAACAAATGGTCAACAAGTATAAGTCAGAACCCCTGGAGTTTTAGTGTGGACTGCCTTCCCCGGCAGAACCCCATGAGGGATGAGGGATAAAACCACAGCCCTAGATCTGTAATGCAGAGACACAGAGGGCTTTATCAATGAGGCTCCATGGTGAGCAGAATAATGGCCCCCCAGGATGTCCACAGGAGCCTGTGAATATGTTACCTTTCCTGGCAAAGGGGCTCTGCCAGGGCTGAGCCAGGAGCTAGAGGGCAAGGGGTAAGGGCTCCTGGGGTGAGAAATGTGAATGTCTAGCAAAAGAACCAGCTGTGGGGGGAGGGGTGTCATCTGGCAGCGCCACAGTCAGAAATGTCTCCTCGAACATCTAAACTAGCACATCCTAAAACATGTGATGTGTATCCCCCAAAAAAACATGTGGGGAGAATGGTAACTTCTTAAAGGACAAAGTGTACCACTTGACATTTTATGTGCTGACTACAGTCTTAGAGAGCTCACCCCAGCTCCGACAACTTCCTCACATGCCGTGACTGGGCCAGCAGCTGTGAATCTGTAGTTCCCTCTAAACGTGTCCGTTTCCTTTTCAGCAAGGCTCACAGGGAGCACAGAGCCATAAATAAAAGCTAAGGGTGGAAAACACCAAAGTTTCCAAGTGCAACCGAGGCCCACTCAAATGCTCAAAGAGCCACAGCACAGAGCCCTCCCTGTCTCTCCATCACCCACGGCACCCCACCCACCTCCGGGCCTCGACAGAGGGACTGCAGAGAAGTGAGTCTACAAGATCCACTGGTTTTTACTCCTGAAGGAGGACCCAAACTCTTCTGCTTTTTGTCCCCAGTCCTAGTGTGTGATCAGGTAGGCCAAACAGCCTGTGCTCGTAAAAAGTAAGAATTCACAAAACCACCCCTAAGTAATTTAAACCCCGTTACAGACTGATATTAATACAGGCCCATATCTGCTTTACCTATAAATTGACTGAACAAGGAAACTAGAACCCAAGTCCAGTCTGCGTTTCTTTAGAAACAAGTGATGTGAATTATATTAGTGTATCTTCCTAACCTATTTAATGCCGATTTGGGAAATAAAAGTCCTTGTGGTTGAAACACTGGAGTATCTTTTAGATCCATCCAGTTTACTCTGAACACCTTTAAGCTCAAGATTTGGTTAGAAAAAAGCCCCTGTGCTTGCCCCACCCTGCCAGCCCCCAGGGGCCTTGCACAGCTTTCCAGACGCCTCGTCTTCACTCACAGCTTCTCTGTTACCGTCCCCGGGGAATGTGTCCTTAAGAAACATTTATAAATCATGATTAAGCAAATTCTGAACACACAGGCAATCACACATGTTAATGCCAGGAACTCTCAAATAGATGCTAGCTTTTAGAAAGAAATACCCAGAACTTGAAAGTGGTATCAAAACTCCTCGAGGTTCCATGCACTGCTCTGTGCCCCGGCTCCTGCTGAGCCAGCTTTCTCAGCTAACCCCGCCCAAAGGGCTCCAGGGGGAGGCACAGGCATAAGGGATTTGCTCTATGTCGTTCTTATGTTACTGGGTCCAAGATGACCTTATTCATACACACACACAAAAGTTCCTTGATAGATAAAGGAACGGTGAGGGGAACAGCTAGCCCATGCCTCTCTCCCTGAGCAGTCCCATTACTTGAAACCCTGTCAACACTGGGCAGCTGCCTCCCCACTCAGACATGTCACTGCTGCTGCTGCCCTTGTGACCGCAGGAGGCCTGAGATACAGTGGCAGCATCCTTGAGAAGAGGCAGGCTCTGAGCCGTGGGACTTAGCCCCACATCCTGCCTCTCCAACTTGAAAGCTGAGTGCACTGGGGGATTTTACTTAAACGTCTGTGCTTCTGTTTTCCCACTCTAAGACAGAGGTGATAACAGTACCTTCCAAACAGGGTGCTGTGAAGATGGAATATTTTCACATGTGGAAATACTTAGCACTGTGCCCGGCAACAGTCATCAGTCAGTACCTCTCAGTTGCCAACACTGTTGCTATTATTGTTATCATTCCCATCTCTAATACCACCTCCCCACCCTCCTCACCAACCTCATCACTTCATTCTAAACCATGCACTCTGCTCCACCCCTTAGACCTCCTCACCCACCCAGGTAAAGCATATTCATTCTCACCTGGTCACTGCCCCGCCTCTGCCTGCGATGCCCATCTGTTATCCAAATGCTGCCGCTTCTCCAGGCCCAGCTCCCCATGGACCCCACAGAGGCATCTGCTGGCCAAGCCAACTTCAGGAGCTGTCCCTCTCTAAAACCTGTGAGACATTTTGAGGTGCGACCTGTTAAGTTCACTAGGTCCTCCTCTCCCCATTTTTTGATGCGTCTTATACATCCAAGCCATCGGGGCTCAACCCAGAAAGCCCTGAGCCGAACTCCTCCATCTCTTCCTACCTAAACACTGACTGTCAGTAGGAGAGAGGGCTGCAGGCTGCTGGCTGGTTTTGCTAGATTCTTGCAGCTAAAGAATTTAAATTCTTTAATTTAAATTAAAGTGAATTTAAATTCTCACTTCACAAGGGTCTCTTATGGGCACTGGTCAATTCTTTTCATTCTGAATTCTCCAGGTGATGGCTTCAGCTCCTGTTCCGGCACTAACACTGGGGCAGAGAAAAGACAGTACCAGCATCTAACACTGACCACTCCTCTTTAGTCTGCAAAGTCTTGCAGTGGCTTCCCAAGGTTTACGTGTGGGCACGTTGGTACTCACCAGTCAGCAATGCATCCAGTTATTAGGTAGCCAAAGATTAATCCAACCAGTAAGGAGAACTTAGCGATATGGACCTTCCAGGCATTATCACACACAAGATCCCACTAGAGAGGGGCAAATAAAAAACAGATCAGAGAGAAGCACACACAGATGCCAGTGCTAGTCAATCACAAGGGCAACACAGAACTGTGGTGACGGCCGTGACGCCACTTACAGCGCCACGTCACGTATACCATTAGGAGGCCCCTCCGTGTTTTTGAAAATCCAACAACAAGAAATATAATTTGCCCACAGCAGGCAGTGTAACGTTTCAGTCTGAGGCAGGTTATGAAGGTCTGTAGGAAGTACCCGCGTGAAACCTGGGCACGTGCGTTCCTGCTGTTCCCGGCACCTGGGGCAGGTCACTCGAAGGCAGGGAGCAGCCGAGGAGGCCGCGTTCCTGGCCACCAGCACCTGTGAGTGTCACAGGGCCCAGCAGGCGGAAGGCCTTGCCAACTTTTGACACCAGGCATCATAATGACAGGAGGAAATTAAAAGCAATTTTTGTGTTTTCATCCCCCCAAACTTCACAAACTTCATAAGTAGTCAAAAATAAAGAGGGCTCATAGCAGGTGTTGGAATATCAACTTTAAGCATTCCTATTATTTTGCTGGTAAACATCCCATGTTTTCCCATATTCCACTCTAAAGCTATCTGCTGCACCTGGAGGGAAAGCTGATCAATCAGTAAGTGCAACATTTAGACTATTTTTGAAACTATGTGTTATTATTTAATAAACAAACAAAATAATCCTCCCATTTTTCTTTTCTCCTTTCGCAGCCACAGGAGAGAAGCCCAAGTTTATTCCCTGGAAGTGGCATGTGTCCCAGGGGAGCACCTGTGAGAACACAGCCCTGGATCCATAGCCATCTGCGTGGGGCTCAAGGGGCAAATGGGGAGTCTCTGCTGGTGGCACCACCCGTGTCACCCCGCAGTGACACTGACGCCCTCCGTCTTGTGGAAAGACGTGGCTAAAGCTTCCAGCTCTGGGAAGCATTAGTCACCCAGGTCAGTGGAGAGGGGGAGTGAAGCAGGAAGCTGGAGAGGTGCAGGATGGGTAAGGCAGTGGGGACTGTCAGAACAGAGGGAGTTCTGGAAGCAAAATCAGGATTCGTGGGGGTGGCATGGGCCGCGTGGAAGGCTGGGCTGAGATCTGATCTTCGCTCTGCCTTCTTCAATATCTCCCCCTTGTCTATCTGTCTTAAGACCCAGAGTATAATGTAGGGGGTCCTTAAAGGGCATGGTAAGCTCAGGTCAATTTCTGTAAAACCTGATGGAGCCCCCAGGAGTCCTCAGCTGTGGGTCTTGGCTTCAAGGGGCTTCGGGAAAAGCTGAACTTCGGCATCAGACTCTGCGGAGGAAGGCACCTGGCCCAGGCAGAGCCAGAAGGCGGGCGCCTGTCACGGGTACCTGAACTCTTTGGGACACACACTTGCTCACTGATGTCCCCAAGGCATGGCCGACCCTCCAGAGAACTTGGGAGAGTGACTAACTCCTCTACCCATCGGCTTCCAGAGCGATGGTCAACACCAGGCTCAGGAAGAAAGAGAATGGTGAGCCCAGACTGACAGGCGGACCAAGAGCCTCGTTGATAGTGGATAACTGGGGAGTGGGGCACCGCTGGGCACACAGAGTCTCGTCATTAGGAATTCAAATACAGGACTTCTTTAGGTGGGTAACTTCCTCCCACATCTCTCCCAGTGGTCCTCAAAGGTGGTGAGACCAGCAGCATCAGCACCACCTGGGAATGCGACAGAGATGCGAATTCTTGAGCCCCACCCCGGACCCCAGAGTGAGAACTTTCAGAGTGAAGTAAGTGGTAGCCCTCCAGGTGATTCTGCCGCCTGCTCAGGTCTGATCACCAGCGGCCCTGCCCTGCCATTTCCTGCTACTCTGAAGCCAAAGACTGAGCTTTGCGGGCCTGGCTGGGTTCAGGAGCAGCATGCAGCCGGACCCTGGGTGAATCTGCACAGTGCACTGGTTACTGTTTTGTGCTGCAAATGCAGAATTGTGAAAACAGACTATGAGTTAAGTGGGCTTTTGATGGAAAATCTGGAGAACCAACATTCATGTGTATACTATTTCTAGGAGAAAACAGATTTTTAATAATCAACACCTTCAGGAATGCAGGCTCTGCCTACACTGTGGGTTGTAGCATCCTAACTACCAGTGTGTGTAGTCTGCTTCCCAGTTGGGTTTATACACTGAGGCCATCTGAATTGGTTTCTCTCCTCGCTGCCCAGCCCAGGAACCTGCCCACAAAGTCTTCCACTTCCAGAGTAAGAGCTACACCTATCAGCACAGCTGGCTAACCTGGGAGGGGAGGTGCTACAACACCTGTAATCATAATCTCCCAATCACACCACACCTGCCTGTGCCTCCGCCTGGCACATTCTTGGCAGAAGAGAGGCACACCTGGTCCCAAATGGCTGCTGAGGAGGGAGGGCACCAGCTGCTGGCTCTGTGGCAGAGAGTCACGGGCTCAGGTCTCCACCCAGCAGATGAGTTTACTTGAGGTTAAGGGATAGATACAAAGAAGCACATCATGCTTATATTTAGATGCCAGGAAGCCAGAGATTTTATAATAGCATCCAGGGAGGTGGGGGAAATGGCCAACACTGCAGTGAACGCAGCCACCTAAATAATAACTCTCCCTGATCTGCCATGGGCAGCCAAGACCCAATTTAGGTGCTACCAAATCAGAGGTTCACCGGCCTCCTCAATGCACCTTAATCAATGGACAGCACTGAAGTGGGAAACGAAAACGCTGAGACAGACAGGCACTTACACAGCTGCTAGGGAAAGCCTTGCTAGAGGAGTTCTCAGGCGCCTGCTCTAGGCCTGGGAGAGGGGCCGGGAATCCAGGACCAGGCACATGATAGGCGCATTAACCCCTCAGTCAGGCAAAGAAGTAGGCGGCATATCTGAGTCAAAAAGCAAACTCACTGCAGGCCCAGCAGGTTCCCCAAGGTGAGGTTCCTCATGCCTGGGGCTCTGCCCATCACAACACCCTTAAAGCCTGCAGGGCCACCCCAGGCACATTCCACAGCCTGGAAGGAGGGCTGGTGGCACCTTTGAGACAACATCTCCTGTTTGACTTCTACTTCTGTACTTACAAAAATGTACGGAGAAAAGAAAATATACTTAAACATATTATCTTCAAAGGAATCTCAGAAGTATGAGGAAGCTTTGAGATGACCTTGCTCTCGAAATTTGTTTGCTCCACTATGGCAATTGATCATTTCACTAAGCAAAGACTAAGGGATGTTAAAACATCTAAAATATGCAAAACCAGGACTCAATGCAACCAATTTGGTCTCTGACATTACCCGTCTCCTCTCTCTTCTCATCCCCTACCCTCCCCCCAACTCGCAGTCACCGCTTGCAGAGACTCTCCCTTTCACACACTCCTGCACCAGGACAGCCTGCTTCAAGGGAAAGGTAGGGGGGTTCACTCACCTTTCTCCAGGTGTGGGGCTGGGAGGCTAAAAACAAACAAACAACCACTTCCAGACTCCCTTACAGCTAAGGTTTTAAATATGGTGTAGGTTCTGCCAATCAGTTGCATGACCCAAAATAACTTTCAGTGCACAGCCTAGTTCTAATTTTTGGGATGACTTGAATTAGGAAGCGTGTGAAGCGAGGAATAAGTGGGACATCCATGCGGCTGTTCAGATCTGGCAGGAGGACTTGGTTTGGATGACCGTGGTCCCCGGGTCCCCAGCATCCTGACTGTGACTCAGTTTCCCAGGCAGGCCAGTCCAGGGAGCTGTCCTAAGAGTCCTTCCAGAGACCCCACCTTCAGCTGCTCCTTCATGTACTGAGTACGATTTCACTGTGTTCGATCCCTATCTCCTTCAATGCCTAGTGTGGTGTCTGTTATCTACAAATTGAATCCTACTCCCTGATTAAATTTCCTTGGGATGGGGTTTGCAGAACTGGATGTCACCATCCTCCCTTCCTGAACTAATACCAGAGCCTCCATGCATTAACTCCGGCCTTCCTCTAATCCATTCCCTGCAGAACAATGAAAATAGTCCTCTAATTAGGCACGTTAACATTTCATCAACAGTTCTAACAAGATCATAAAATCGTTAAAGTCTCAGCCCCATTTCATAATCATAGGCTTGCTTTCTTTGCCATTGTTTGAAGACCAGGGATGTCTATGGTGATGCCACATGAGGCCTGTGAGCCAAGACTGACTGCATAGTGAAAAAATTAACCCTAAAGGTGTTCTCCTATTTAGTTGCACATGTTCCATTAAAAAAAAATTTTAAAGGCAGAGGTTACAGAAAATCTGGACATCCATGCTGTTGTTCAGATCTGGCAGGAGGGTAAAGATTTTTCTTTACCCATGTATTTTTAGGGATGTGCTAAAGTAAATAAAATTTATGATTTTTAAAGCAATAATCTAATGGCTTGACTTGCCAGAGTAGAGAAATATTCATCAAGAAAACTAATGAAATTTCTAATGAAGATGGAAAATAAATGGGAGATAAGAAAAACAACCTTATTTTCAGCCATTATGAATACTATGATAAACTAAATTGTAAAAACAGAGAACAAAAGAAAAAGAATATAGCCCGGTAGTTGAGCATCAACCTATGAATCAGGTGGTCATGGTTTGATTCCTGGTCAGGACACATGCCCGGGGTTGTGAGCTCGATCCCCAGTCAGGGGCATGCAGAAGGCAGCTGATCAATGATTCTCTCTCATCATTGATGTTTCTATCTTTCTTTCCTTCTTCTTTCCTCTCTGAAATCAATACAAATATATTTTTTTTAAAAAAGAAAAACCATTGGAAAGAAACATTACTTATTCAATTTTGAAGTGGAGCTGGAATTCCTAAGGATAAACACTGAGGTGAAAAAACTACCTAAGGAAATACTGATAGAGTTTATAACAGTTTAACTGTGACTACTTAATTATTATTCACGTTAATTATTTTTAAAATCCATGCATCAAAAATACCACAAGCAAAATTATAAAGTCCCAAATTTGTAAAATATATTGTAGGGGATCAGAACGTACCAGCCCAAAAGATGCCACTATGGCATAAAGATGA